TGAATAAACTACGGTACATCCATTTACTTAGTATTAGGCAACTGTTACAAAGAATGAAATAGATGAATGTTTATTGAATTAGGGAATACTCATTATATATTAAGTGAAAAAAATTAAGATGCTAAATAAAACATTTAGTATATTCCCATTGGGATAACACACACTTAAATAAAAGTTTCATGTTTCTTTGAGCGTAAAGAGGAGTGAAATGATTCCTCTCACCTTGATTACTCTGAATATCATAGGAAGGAAGAAGAGATTATTATTAACATTTACATTACATATCTTTTATTTTTTGACTTGTTATGAGCGTGAATTACTCTTGTAATTAAACAAAATCCAATAAAATAGGCGAAATTTAAACAAAACATAACAAAACAAGGAATTGAAGTTTGTTTCTTTTATATAAGCAGTCATATTGGCCTCTACGCAAGTTTGTCTCTACACAACACGGATATCATGATATTTTAGAAAGAGGCCAAACCTTATCAAGCCTTAAGTCCTGGCATATCCTTCCTCAAAACAAGTTACCTAATAACCTTATATTAGCATAGCTGAGAGACTCTACATAAGTGATTGTTCCCAAATAAATCCTCTCTAAAGTGGCTCAACAACTTCACCTGGAAAGAAGAGTGGCTATTGCTAAAGCTATTCTTCAATGTGGCAGGACAAACTACCTTGAGAAAACTTCAAGGCTCCAGAAATACTGCTCCAAACCACTGAGATGCTCTACAGCCTACAAACAAAAATGAAATAAATTAATAGGTCTGATCTCTTTCCTGGCACCAACTCCCAGCTGCATTAGCTCATGAATGAGAGGAAAGCAAGGAATCAATTATACCAAAAGTACTAATTCAAGATAAAGGCCACCTGGGATTTCTCAGTTGGACTTTCCCTATGTAGGTCCTATAGTAAGAGGAAGGCTTTCATTTGATTTGGCTTTCTTTCACTTTTTGCCTGAGGTACTAGCATTCAGGACTCTGTTTTGCCTATAAAACAGTTAACTAGGCTCAGTTTGAATAATCTTACATATTAAAGCAGTGTTAATACAGAGCTAAAATTCTTAAGCAGTCCAACATATTTAACTTACAGAACTGAAATCAGTAGCCAAAGGCATTTCTACCACTATTTTGGTCAACAGGGCCACAATCCCTTATCCATTTTCTTGAAATATATAGAAATTTGAAAACTGAAGCTTTTGGAGGCACAACATGTCCTAAAGTGATGGCAACACCTGACACGAACTGAAATGAAGATATTTATAATCTTCATTTATTCTCTCTAGTTAAATATTCATGTGTTCTCTGCAAAAATTTCTATCTCTGTGATTATGAGGAACTCACCAAGACTTTAATGATATTGTTACTCCATATCAAGAATATGCACACAAATGCACAGAGGTAAGTAAATGTCATTGGAAATCAAGCGGGGAAAGGGGAGGAGCAAAAACCCACCTAATGGGTACAATGGACACTATTTGGATGATGGGCACATTTATTGCCCTGACTCAAGCCATGTAACAAAAACATTTGTACCTCCTTAATATTTTGAAATGTAAAGAAGAATATGATCATGTAACTTTCACAAAAACTGGAAAATTATTTTTCCAAAATCTGGGCAAAGAATTTCACATAAAGAAATCCTATAGACCTCTGTAAGGGGGACTAAATATGTTGAGGGTCAGAAATAATTATTAATCTATCTGCATAGGATATTATTGGACTAGATGTGTGTTTTATAGTAGTTAGATAGTAGAAGGCAGGTTGGATTACTGCCCTCTTGCTTATTATATTTATTTGAAATCATTATCTACCAAAACTTTTGATCTAGAAAAGAGTACTTGACTCTTTAAGGGGTTGGGGCAATGAGAGCTTTAGAGCCACAAAATTTAAAAATATCAGAATAAGTTATCAGCAACTCCTACCCAGTGGATCCTGTTCTTTGTTCTTCGGGTCACCACCAGACAGTCAGATTCATATGTCAATTTC